TAGATGAACCAGGGGGCAGTATTGGACCAATACAAGGCTCCATTGACTGCCATTATAATTCATTAAACATTAATATTTCATAAACTAAAAGTTCAGTACTGAGTAGATACAGCAGGGGGCAGTATTGGACCAATACAAGGCTCTATTGACTCTCATTATAAATTATTAAACATTAATATTTCAAAAACTATAAGTTGTACAGGCACCAAAAGGCATAGCCATCATTTGGCACAGGAGCTTCACAGATATAAATTAGAATGGCTGCTCTAGGACAAAGTATGCAGGAGGAGAAGCGTGCCAAAGTGGAGATAACTTGGATGGGAAATGAATCACAATAGTGTGCATTGCATTGGCAATGCACACTGATTAGCAGAAAGAAGCTGAAAGAAGCACACCATAGAAAAGAGTCTAAACGATAGCTTTAAAGCTAAAATCAGCTAAATAGAAGCCAAAGGAAGCTGAAATGAGCACAAATAAGTAAAAAAAAAGCAGAACCAGAAAAAAGGTAAAAAGTGCAGTAAAGATTTATGCTCCATTCATTTTCTATGAGGAAAAAAATGTTAGAAAAAGCTAAATATCTTTATTAGTATAAAATACTGAAGTACCAGAAGTCATGGCTGGAATGTCCTGAAGGAGCTGAACATTTTGATATTTTCATTGTTTTAAAAAAGCACAAACATATGCAAAATGAGATGCATGCCAAAAAACGTACTGAAGACAATGATCTCAAACCATTAYGTGGATTTGTGTGAAACTATTAAAAAGTAATTCTTACATGTGCATCTGTACGGATTATCTGTTGGAGTCAGCCTGATTCAAGATGGCTGCCACAACTAATCGACTTTAGCAAACATAAAAACGGCCCCAATTGCTAACAAACTGTAAGGTTTGACCTAAACAACTCTAATGCTAATATTTCTCATCATAAGATGATAGTTTGAAACTCATGAAAGGCAACACGTGATATTCACTTTAATATTTTTTATCTTTTAAGTTCCTTTTACTCTGTTTCATTCCCTTAAAGTTCTCTCCGTGTTCTGGGCTGTGATGGAGCTTCTCTGCAGCTCTCAGGGCCTGTTTGTTCTAGTTGTGGTGAGCTGATTCAGAGGGGTGAATGTTTATGGTAACGGCATCACGGCCTCCTCCCCGGCCCGTGGATTACAGCCTGCAGTGCGCTCGCTGCTTCATCGCCTGATTAGAAGAGCCGCGGGGCCCCAAGGTCTTCGTGGATTCTGGGTCCCGAACAGGAGCGAGGCCATTAACAACAGCCCCATTAGGCAGCAGCGGGCCCGGCTCTGATGTGGCTGCGAGGGCTTCTGTTAAATCTGGGGTCAGGACTGGGGAGGCAGGCGCGTTGTGGTTTTGGTTCCGAGCCATGGGCTTGTGCAGCGGGAGCTTATGCCAGGATTTAGAAAATACAGATGAGATGATGAGATCATATGTCTTTATATGAAGATGATGGTCAAGATGGAAGTATTTAAAGGCTTTTTTTGTATGYTTTTATTACCGCTATATTTCCATATGTCTTCCCTGTAGATTCTACTTCTGAGTCTACAATACAGCTTCTGTTTCTAACATTAATATTTAGATATATGAAGAGAAATCTGTAATTATTGGACTTGTGTTTCCAACAGATCCTGGTGGCCTTGAGGCATCTGCACTTCAAAAATATTGTTCACTGTGACTTGAAGCCTGAAAATGTACTACTGGCCTCTGCAGAGCCTTTTCCACAGGTAAGAAATATTAAACAGGGGGATGTTTTTGTTTCTTTTCCAGACGTGATTATGCTGATTAATGCCGTTTTATTTTTTTTTAGGTAAAGCTATGTGACTTCGGCTTTGCTCGTATCATCGGCGAGAAGTCGTTCCGGCGGTCAGTGGTGGGCACCCCGGCCTACTTGGCCCCCGAGGTGCTGCGCAGCAAAGGCTACAACCGCTCCTTAGACATGTGGTCCGTGGGGGTCATCGTATACGTCAGCTTGAGCGGGACCTTCCCTTTCAACGAGGACGAGGACATCAACGATCAGATCCAGAACGCGGCCTTCATGTACCCCCCGACGCCCTGGAAGGACATTTCGGCAGAAGGTAGGGAGACGGAGCGCGGTCTGGTTYGGTTTCATCAAACAGCTGTCGGCCCGTTTGCACCTGCAGTTCRGTGTCAAACTGAAATTCAGACACGCAGCTCAGGGACTGTTCTCCCCCCACCTACATGTCTGGGCCTCTTGCTGAGTTTTCTGTCTGTGGTTGAGATGAATCACTTTCAGTTTTCCTTCAGCTCAGTCCAAGCTGCGGTTCTTCCTACATACAGTCCACAAAGCTACTGTCCGTCTGCATCTTTACATGTGAAAGTCTAAACTGTTCACCTAACAGAGCWGACTTCAAAAAGATAATGGCAAAATATTCTGTAGTGTTGGGGGTCAGTCTCAGCTGTTACCACTCTAACTTTTAGATGAGTTTAAATTAGTTAAAGCCACAATCAGTCATTGATGATACATTATGTAAGTTTGTTTTGTTTACATCTGTTTCCTACACAGCCACAGATCTGATCAACAATCTTCTCCAAGTGAAAATGAGGAAGAGGTATAGCGTGGACAAATGTCTCAGCCATCCCTGGCTACAGGTGACACGGTTTCTTCTTTTCTTGTCTTATAACAGGACAGCTGATCAACATCTAGTTTCCTGAGTAGCAGTGATAACTATGGAAAGCACTGCTTTGACTGACATTCAGCCTTTTCTACGTGGCTGAATGTGAYGTAGAAAAGGCTTTCAACCTTTTCTGAAAAACAACAAAAAAAGATCTGAGAAAGATTGGTATGACACCAATTCAAAATTGATTAACTTTATTCATTTCATTTAAAAAAATGATGCTATCTTAGATCACCTTACAAAAAGAACATGTTACTACCAATAAAAAATATT